ATACACCTCGGTCATGAGGGCAAACAATGTCCGGTACTTACGGATAGGTGGGACTTGTTCGAAGAAGACGAACCGGAAGACCAGCTTGAGCCTGAAGATCTACCATCTGTGTCGGGACCCGAGTTCCAGCCGAAGGAAAACACCATGGTCATCATTGACAAGTCCGGAGTTCATCGCCTCCGGGTTCGATGCTGCGATTGTCCAAATGCCATGAGTCCAGACCTTCAAATGTTTCGACATGGATTTTTCCCCGCTTCATTTAACAAGCCGAAGACTTTATTCACCTTCAGGGTTCTCGATGATTTTCTATGGACAACCTTGAATGTGGGACCTCGGCGATGAACTATTACAGCAAGCTCCGGCGAATGACCTCGAGGATGTTTCCACACCTTGTACCGGTAATGCCATGTCTCTCTCATCTAAAGGACATTATATTGACAAGGCATGGGGCAAGGACCGATACCGAGAGCTCATGAGAGTCGCCCGACAGTGGAGGCAGTTGAAGACGATGAAATGGCATGGCTTCGGCCATTGTTCCGACAGCCCGAATGCAGGAGATCTCGCATTATTTTGCCCGGCATGTCCTCAGCCTGGGATTAATGTGTCCTTCTCAGGGGATGAATCACTTGATGAGTGAGTCTTCCTCGATACCGAAGTCACCTCAGCGATAATAACAACTCCAAGGTGGAAATACACCCGGTCATTTGTTATGGATGGAAATTTCAAAGCTGAACACCTGCATCCCATGAACGCCATTGATGAAGTTTGGCTGTCAGATGGGTTGGGATTCATGGTGGGAAAGGACAGGTATAAAATGCATCTTGCAGAGGCTGCCGACACTTTAGAAAAATCAAGCTGCAACAATCACCGGGCAGTAAATCAAGCAAATGCGGCTCGGCACAAAGCTGGAATCCACGGGTATCGGGGGAGTAGCCTGTGCGAGACACGGTTGCTTTGTTCCTCACTCGATGGTAGATTTTCAGAAAGGTGAAAGGCAAGCCGACCCAGCCATTCGATATTCACGAGTTAACCATGCATCATTTGCAGACAAATGAACATGGACTATGCCCTTTGTGAGGCTGCCCGGCACAACATGGAAGGCATCACCAGGGCGGTCACCTTCTATGATATCAACTGTCAATACAACAAGCACTTTCGGGTTCGGGTGGATCGAAGCTGATTTCTCGAAATGGTTCCGGAATTGACCATCATTCCCGGAATCGGGTTTGTGGCACATCCACGGACATCAGGACAGCTGCTATGTCCGATATGCGTCGAATTTTATCGAAGGCATCGGTCGGATTGATGGAGAGATCATGGAGACCCTATGGTCACATCTCAACCTGATTTCCCCTGCTGCTCGGGGAATGTCATCCCCGCATCGAAAGGAATGTCTCGATTATCAGATGAATGATTCCAATTTCTGCAAGATGATCCGCATGAAAAGGACCCTTTGCCAAAAATACAAGCAGGCGAAGAATGGCATTGCCGAAAGTGAAAAGGCTTTCGACATACTCAATGAAGCAGCACCCGGCGATTCAAAGACAGAGTGGCTAGCCAGCGAGAGGATTGCTCAGTCTAGCAGAATAAATAATCCTGCGGCTATGGATGTATATGAGATTAATATCAAGAAGGGTTAGTTGACTTTGTCTCCATCAAAGTCTGAATTAATTTTGCATTCAGCACCGAGCAAAAAGGAGATCGAGCTTAGGCTACTAGAGGAGGGTAATGCCCGAAATGCAGCACCTGCTCGCAGGTCTGTGGCGACATGGATATCAATGGGGTTGGCGATTGAAGAGGCTCAAATTGCATTGCTCATTGAGGTCCGAAGAATTGGTAGAAGAACTACCGAGACACAGAAGTTAGACATCGCCCGGTCAACGCGATCGTCTCCAAGGCCAGATAGATGGATTCACTCGGTCTGCTATTACGCATCTTGGAGAGGGATTTGATGCAGATGAAGATCCTGAAGACTTGTACTTGGACATTCTTGATGATCTCGATGATGACTTGGCAGACTTCACCGAGACATCTGACACATGGGCAAACTCCCCTGAGCTCACTGTAATCCCATTGCCATCAAACCTCGGGTAGATCGATGCAGACACTGTATGGCAGACTGATCTCATTCCGCTGGAGATGTCTCTTCGTGAAGGGCAGGCCAATGACTTCCTTCACAACCTCCGAATTCACTTGTGCAACAAGGCGATTCTGTTTCGAACAACAGTTAGGCAAGCCAAATCCCAGGCCCTGAAAACTCGAGCTTGGTCCCAGGTGACGTCGGTGCAGCAGGAAGTGTCCCTCCATGCCAGTATATATACGAAGACGAGGAAGCAAATGATGCAACTGGAGCCAGGGCAAGACCAGGTTCAGAAATACAAACCCCTGCTTCAAGAGCAACTCAAAATCAGCACTGCCGTCGGCAATCCAAATGCCCGAGGTCAGCGAAACGAGTCCCTCGCTTGGTTCTGGTCAGTCGAAGTCGACCTTGGGGGTCCCGATCACTCATGGAATGAGGAATGTGAGTTCGGGCATGTTTGATGTGTCCCGCGCTCAGCTGACGGAGTCATCCGAAGTTTACCGAGTTCATTGGCTCCGGGCAAAGGCACTACGGGATCAATGGAAGGAAGAAATGATGTTGGTCCAATTGGAGATGGATTGGACATGTAACTTTTTTTTGTGGAAAGCAACCCAATGGGGTGACAGGATGCGCGAATCATTGGTGAAACACCTTCCAGGTCATGCATGCTACTCGGGAAGGCAATCCCAAATGTATTCATTGCTGGCACAGGATGCCCAGGCAGCATTTCAAGACCTGAAGACCGGGTTTATAGATGCTCGAGATGAATGAAATTTTTTTGCCAACGATATGAAACAGCTACTTTGACCCAAACATTTTAGTCCCGGGAATTGGCCGGGTCGACCCATGTCGGAGTTTGAATTTTTTTATCAATCAACCAGTGGCTCATATCTTGACCTCCGAACCAACTGCCATTGTCATTGTCATTTCCAGCTTCATAATCCTGCATTAACCATGTCTGTATTGCATACTCCCCCAACATCCCCTTCTAATTCTCAGACTTCCGGCAATGGGTTCCGACCCCTCACACTCACTCAGGCAGATATTGCAGCTACAATGTCAATGGCTGCATCTCGCATCCGAGCGTCCATCTCTCAATATCAGATGGAGGCTGCCCACACCCAGGAGCCTTCTGCTACTTGGATCACACACTTTAAAGCCGGGCTGCAATGGGAGATAGCTGTAAGAGGCTGATGACTGTGGTGGTCAATGCTGACATTTCCAACAGACTTTTGTGACTCCCATCCTGCAGTACTCAGCTGCAAGGAACATCATTTCGGTTGTTCTGAGCCCGGTTGCTCATATTCTTCAGTTGATTCCCGAGCTCACCTGGAACATGGTTCTGGACCACATCTTTTCATCCCACCTATGCCAGTTTCAAGACGTTGCAGATCTGGGGGATCCCTCCCACATTGTATCCACCTATGGTACTCCATGGTGGACCGGATCAACTGCCATCCCGAACGAATTATGGCCATGGGATCAGGTATTTGCTAATTGTGTCTGTCACTACCAGCATTGGCTAGTAAGACTTTTACAGAATTTCCTTGAGTGATGACTAATCCTTTCTAGTCTGGTGTTGAGGATGAACGTCTTGTTGTTCCCGAGCAGGTGGATGAAAGCTCGCTTGCAACGCTGAAGGCACTGAGGTGGATGAGGGAACGCCTCCTGACAGTGATTGAGGATCAACAAGCTGGCATCCGTGAAAAGATGGCAGAGATTCAGATGTACACCACCGTCCTAACCAATGAGAAGGCTGTGGAAGGTCGCTATCGAGTGGGGACAATGAGCTTGACAGTACAAACCATCAGGCTCGGGGAACAATTGCACCCAAGGGGACCAGAGTAGTTCTAGTCCTTCAGTTCAGAATGTTGAAGTCTAAATTCTGTACATGATGAAATAAGTACTGAAAATTACATACTGACTTTCGAATATCTGACCTATTGCTATATGCTGAGTCCTGCATACCAAATATCGAGTATCGAGATCCAGATATCTTGAGTCCCAAATATTGAGTCTCAAACATAGAGTCCCGGATATCCAGTCCTGAAGCCCAAGATTCGAGACGAGACTTGAAACTCGAACATTGCTATGAGTTGCGAGTTTTGAGTCCCCACCGAGTCCTGACAATCGAATCCCACAGCCCAACCATCGAGTCCCAACCATCGAGTCCCGACAATCGAGTCTTGAAACCCGAGTCCTGACAATCAACTCCCGAAGCCCGAGATTTGAGTGCCGACCATCGAGTATCGAGTCCCCAATATCGAGACCCAAAACCCAAGAAGCCCGAAGCCCGAGATTCGACACGAAACAAATCAAAACTCAAAACAACATGACACTTTCTTGAATCACCGAGTACCGAAACCCGAGTACCGGGTACCAAGTCTTGAAACCCGAATCCGCACTATCGAGTCCCGACTACCGAGTCTTGAAACCCGAGTCCTGACAATTGACTCCCGAAGCCTGAGATGTGAGTGCCGACCATCGAGTATCGAGTCCCTATTATCAAGTCCCTATTATCGAGACCCGAAACACAAAGCCCGAAGCCCGAGATTCGACACTCGAAACAAATCGAAACAAAACTCAAAACATGACACTCATCAATTTTGGGAGTTGTTTTCTTGAATCACCGAGTACCAGGTACTGTGTACCGAACCCCGAAACCCGGTACTCGGTAGTCGGTGAAATCAAATATCGAGTCCCGACTATCAAGTACCGGGTACCGTGTACCGAAACCCGAAACCCGGTACTCAGTAGTCGGTGAAATGTGTACAACATCACTATGGAATATACTCGAATATCAAGTCCCAACTATCAAGACCCGAAACCCGAATGTTGAGTATGGAGTGCCTGACATCTAGTATCATGTATTTGAAGGTGGGTACTAACACGGGTAACTACCTTTCTACTTCTTCCAATCCAACCTTGCCCATCCACACGACAGAATCCCAGCATAAACATGAACAGCATCCCTCATATACCATGCCCAGGCAATCCGATCCCCTTCCACTGCATGAACCGTGTGTCTGACAATCCTTCCCGAAAATGCAATCATGCACCCCAGATCGTACCTTAACTCCAGCTGCAGGTTTGGCATACTCATCCGAGCATTATAATAATTCCCCACGCTAGTGAGAATATCGAAGCATTCGGAAATTGATGAGGGGTCTCGATGATTCGGGGTTTCCCGATTGCATATGACGGTGAGGCTGTTAAACACCGTTGCCCAGTACTGGAGAGTCTCTGACATCTTCGGCAGTTCCTTGCTTCGTGCCTTTTCTCCGAGGCTCGCAAAGGCTTGCAACCCTGCCCAGTACTGCTCAGGATGCATCACCCTGAGTGCCGCTGTGGCAATGGCTGCTGGCCTCGCAATGGCTTTGAGGATGTTCTCGGAGGATGGTCCCTTCAATGATGCAGATACCTCTGGATCGGACTGATTCTATGGGATTGGTGAGTTTAACTACCAAGATCGCCATCTCATCAGATCCTACCTCGTGCCCCTGCTGAAATCATGCCAGAGATAAATTAACGCATCCGGGAGTTAGGACATCATTTTCCGAGCTTGGTGTGAACCACTGTTGATTAGTCCGCCAAATCCCATCAAGCTTTATGCTTTGTTCGAGCATGGGAGCTAGCAAATCCGAGGCCACCCAAATTTCATTCTGTACGTACCATTTGATGTTCAATATCCATCCAGTCACAATATATATAACACACCTGGGTGGCATCAGGTCAAGGTGTCTGGGAGGTACCATGCAATGATGGCACCGGATGCATCAAGAATTGTCGCGGGTATGTCGATCAACTTTGTGCCCTCATGGCCAGGAGGACACCTCTCGAGCAACTTTTCCTCTCTCTCTTCATTACACCCCGTGTCCTTTGGGGAGATCAATTTGCTATATCTTGCAATATCGATTTGCATCTGAACTGTGATGAAGCAATTTGACTGATAAAACGAATTTTCCGAATCTGCAGGAAGACTCACTGGGATTTTTATATGCCTTTATGAGCCGATCAACCAATCGATCACAAGCCATCACCAGATCAGTGTCTAGGTTTGGAGAAGGTATAACTGGGTCTCCTCCTGTCTTCTCTGCATTGAATTTCTGTTCCGTATAATCACATGCCACATGAGTGACAGTCAGGGCCCAAGTGCGCAAGAGGGTTATTTCATCATCGGAAGTGGAAGAAACATCCATGATTGAATTGATCTTGTGAGATCAGAAGCTGAATCCTGAATGTCCGCACTTTGGTGTTAAAGGGGGTGGAGATTGAGAGGATCAGATAAGGGAGCCTTGGATGATCTGAGCTTTCAAAGATCTATTATCTCTTATCATCTATTGCTCGATGAAATACCACATGATTGGAAGTCTGTTGGATGTCAGATACTCGTTTGTCGAGACCCGGGCCTCGGATCTCGGTACACTTCACTCGATTTTGATACCCGGGACACCATAGTTGGAACTTGTCTCGAATCTCAGGTCTTGGGTCTCGGGCGTCGGGTCTCGGGTCTCGATGGTCGGGACTCGATATACGGGACTCGTTGGTTGGGACTCAATACTCGATTGTCGGGATTCAATGGTCAGGTGTCGGGTTTCATGACTCGGTAGTTGGGACTCAATAGTCGGGACTCGATGGTCGATTTTCGGGATTCGATAGTTGGGGCTCAGATATTGGTACACTTCACTCAATTTTCGGTGGTTGGAACTTGGCATTTGGCATTTGGTAGGCTTGGATGATGTTGGCTTTCAAAGATCTATGATCATCCATTGCTCAATGAAATACCAGATGATTGGAAGTGTGCTGGACATCACATATTCGTTTGTCAAGACCCGGGTCTCGGAACTCGGTACACTTTGCTCGAGTTTCCACTTCACCCCTTTGCAAAGCTCCGTGCCATACCACATCATTAGATGACTTCGAATAATCACCTCCTTTGATTTGGATGATATACAACTAGCTGAGCTCCATCATGTCTACAATTATCATTCTCCTGGGCCCACCCGTCTATCTTATATACCCCCATGTCGGCCTACCCATCTATGCAATATATGTCTCCCGTCGGCCCACCTGTATATAATACATCTTTTACCGCTCCCTCGGCCTACCCGTCTACAAAATAATATTAATTCGTCGGCTCACCCGTCTAATATGATATATATCTGGGCCCACCTGTCTATGTGATAACAAGCACCCTTGATATACCCGGCTATTTGATACATATCTACCTTGGTACACCCATCTACATAATATCCAACTACCTCGGCCGATCTGTCTATTGAAAATTCATGTCCATCGGCCCACCCATCTACTTTACATATTCCCCACCTAGGCCCACCCGTCTCCATCGGGAATAATAACACTCCCGGCCCATCCGTCACAGTCGAGGATATATCTACCCTCGGCCCATGGTCCGCTGGCCCGTATCATACGGGATATTATGCATGTCCGTCCACTCGTATAATACGGAGATATGTTACTGCAATATGTGAGATTAAAGTAAAGAACTACATAGTACAAAGCGAGTTTATATAGCAAAAGACAGTGGCTTTAGGGCTGGCATGACGAAGTCAGAATGAGTCAAAGATAAGAGCGAGTTAAAGATAACAAGAATAGATCACCTAGCGACGGCATGACGCGATCGTGGCATAATACAACTGATAATAAGAGAAGTCTAGCGACGGCTTAAGATAGCGATCGTGACGTAATACAAGGTAAGAGGAGAAAATGAATAGGGGCGTACTTGATTGTAACAAGAGCCACACAACAGAAACGTCTTAACTCTGCTTAGTATGTGCAGAAGCTGGCATGCCCTGGCAAAGCTGCGCATGCATACCAATGAGACACTTAACCTCCTTGATGTTGCAACCGCTACCCTGGGAAAGCAGCTTCGCCATTTCCAGAAAATTACCTGCTTGGCTTTCAAGACTCACGAACTGAAGCGGGAAGCAGAGCGTCGCCAGCGCCAGAAGTTAAGGAACCTAGTTGGCAGCAGAGAGGCAGTGGCGACTGAGTCAACGCCTCACACAGTTTGGCGACCAAAGACATTTAATCTACAAACCTACAAGCTCCACGCCCTGGGTGATTATTCCACTGCTATACGTAACTTTGGCACGACTGACTCATACAGCACTGAGCTGGTGAGTGAAAACATCAGCCTATTATATCCTCCATCAATTTCTCGTGCAATGATAGGGAGAGCTAGAACACTGCACCTCAAAGGCAAGGTATCGTTGAATGGACTGAAAAGAATTTGTGGAACAGATAACGAGGATCAAGCAATGCGAAGCTCGCATACTCAGCATCCGTGACAAGCAGCTACCACAGGGTGCGATGGTGGAGGAGGAAGAAGAAGTTGCCACCTCACCTGAGGCTCATTTCCATGTTGGAAAATCTCAGAATTATCCCGAGAACATTCCACTGTTCCTCCAAAGGCACATGGGGGATCCTGCTGTCAAAGTGAGCGCTGCATAGTAATTATGTCAACTTGAATGCAAGGCGGTGCTAATTCTGAGTGACAGGACTTTTTACCTAAGCTTCAGTGCTTTCACCTCCCTAAGATCAAGGAGGTCTTAACCAGGGAGGGCGCCCTGCATACTGACGCTTCTGCCAGCACTACGGTCCCAGGAGCTACCCCGGTATGCTCAGACTGGGAAGGACGTGTTTTTATCAAGGCCGATCGCATGTATAGGCACAACTTGATGCGGCTTAACTACACCATGTATGACATCTGCCAAGTGCAGGACATCATAAATCCATCGACTTCTCATTGCAACGTCATGCTCTTGGGCCAAGCCGGTGTAGAGACTCGCATTTCTGTGGGCTCATATGGGCTCATTTTACGAATTCTGACAACTGGCATTTCATGGCACAACTCGCACCATCATCCATATGACTTCCACCAAGTCTTCAGTCAACTCTGCATATCATGCACACCACTTCCTGCGAAATGCGCCATAGGCGCGCTACTTTCCCGCACTATGCGCAGCATTCCCATGCGCGCACCTTGCGCGCTTTCTCGTGCTTAAGCGCACTGCGTCGCGCATCATCCAGGAGCATCCATCCACTGTCCAACCAGTCCCTTGGTATGTCCCTGTTCGTTATCTGACTATATTTGGCATATTACACTTCTTATTCATTATGCACCCTTACTTTACATCACCTTACCTCACTTACATACTTAGAGTGCTCCCTATTCGGCTCCAAGCCCTGGGAGAGCGCTTAGGTAGAACTTACATACTTTGATGTTCGTTTTACACCCCACTTTACCGCCTTAGCTTCTGACCACCATCTTCTTACCACCATGTTACTTGGTAGTTAGCCTCATGCAATGCATCCATTGTCATCATAGGCCCTAGCAGCAGTCTCTAGCTAGTGGCAACATCAGTATCAGTCTTCAGTCACCTTTCTCGTCCTATCATCGTCATCAGTCGTCTCTCATCAGTCTCAGTTCACGTCCTTTTCACTTGTGCACAGCTTGCACTACCTTCCCATGCTTCGCGCTCCTTCGCACTTCTCTTTCCTGCGCGTGCCTTCAGCGCGTTTCTCGCACTTTTACCGCCTTTCATTAGGATTGATCAGCATCATTCTGTGGATCCTTGCTTTCCTTGCTTCCCCTTTAGGATCGAATGCTCTTGCATTCTGCAAGTGTAGCAGCTAGGCAGAGCCAAGACTCACTTATACTGGTTGAGCACTTCTCTTATATGTGCCTGCCAGGTTGTGATCGCCACACCGGGGAGGATTCAACTGCCCATGAAGGTCATCCTTACCTTTATGCTTGCGTACTTGGCATCTATCATGTCAATGCCACTTATGTTGGCCCCAGCATGGTTGGTTACCACTCACATCGAATCAACTTCTTGTGGGTGAGATGGTACCAATACCTTGACATCGGATGCCCCAGTAGGCAAGCGCCTTTAGATCGTGTCTACTTCCCACCTACCGCAGAGCCAGACTCATTTGGGTTTGTTGACCCTGATGATGTCCTTAGGTGCTGCCACATCATTCCATGCTTTTCCCAAGGCCTGCAGCACTTGGATGGTAGGGGCATCTCACACTGTGCTCAGGATAAGTTGGACTGGAAGTCCTATTACATTAACCGGTGTGTCCAACATCACTACTAACGGAGCTCCCCTGACTTGGTGGCTTAGTTTTGTAGACCAGGATGCCTTTATGCGGTATCAATGGGGGTTGGAAGTTGGGCACACCTATGCTCATGCCACCATGCGGCGTCAAGAAGATGAACCAACGGTTATGCAGGACTTTGAGGACCTTGAAGAAGGGGGTTATGGCTCAGGTTGTGGCATGTCCAACTCAGGCAGTAACTCAGAGTCGGAAGAGTCAGACTCTGACTGGGGCTCTGCTTCAGATGGAGGTTGTGGTAGCGATAGCAACCAGTCCCTTGACTATGAGAATTAGGTTGGTTGATGCAGATAGGTGCCTCTGGTACAATGGTACAAGGGTTTGTCTTTCAAATTTCAACACTTGGTTCCATGCTCCTGGTTCTTGTCATGACTCGGTTGGGCGTTTACATAATGTGTGCTAGTTGAAATAAGATCCTTCTGTTAATCTTTATTATTATACAGTCTGAACGACAGTAGACACATAAGTTGTACTATGTACGATCGAGTACCACCGTCACGACCGGCACCTGCTAAACTTCATTCGCCCTGCCACACCACTCCGAGATCGACCAGCCTAGCTACACCACTTGAGTATATGCCAGGCTGGTCACGAGCCTATTATCAACCAACTTTCAGCTGCTAAGGTTCCCAAGTTGTGACATAGTAATAGTAGGATGGTCATCATGAGGTTTTGGAAAACCGGAAGAATCCACTTGCACTAATAATATGTAACACTTATCGATGACTCGGATTGAACTTTGACGTTCAAGTTGCAGTAGTGCTCACTGGCAGGCTAGCGCTGCATAGTGACAACCACCAGTCTTTGTGCAAGATCACAGACTGGTGCTGTCTCTGGTACAGAGGTACATTGTTCAAGTTGGTTGCTCCAAATTCAAACAGCCATACCTTATCATGACCTGTCCAACAGATCCATTAAGAGTCATCAATCATGACGGCTATTAGGGTACAAAAAATGTCAAACTTGAAAAACTCTCGCCACATAAGTGCTGACTTTAAGAAAGCTGACTGAAAATGCAGTACAACAGCCGATTTTACCTTCTGAATACTCATCATGTCCTCTTGTCCTAAAGTTGGCTAGCATCTACACACCTTTAACAATTCGACTTTGACAATGTTAAGACTCGTTCTTCAAAGTGGCATACCTTCAACTCAGTCCCAGGAAAAGGCCGTGAGTGATTTTATACTTGCAGCAGGTGATAGCTACTGATGCTCTGGGATTGTAATACAGGAGCGCAACTGATCCGTAGGTACACTACGGATGTCATGTCGGGCGAACGATCCATGCTCTGTGCAACTTCCAAGCCCTTCTCACCAATGAAATTTTACAGATGAGGGAATTGGCACTCCTGACAAAAACTTCACCGTGGAGTATTTTATTTTCCTGCAGCGCTATGTGCACTGCATCTAATCCTGTGTATTTTCTCAGGGAACGGCTCCTCAAGTCTGTAGCAGGCCTGGAAGAGTGGTTGATGCAAGGTGGAGATGATGAGGTTGACCTCATTGCAGAGTTAGCAAGTGTCATGGTTTATATGTCCTACTTATCCCACATATCATCAGCTCACCAAAGGCACATCTGGAGCAAGAGGTGACGACACCAAAAGTCTCAAGGGCAGTGTGCTTGACTGGATCACCCCAAAGGGACACAGAATACTGATGAGCTTGCGATGTCAGTAAGTGTTTCCATCAAGGGTGATTAAACTGCTAATTCACCGCTTATGTTGCCCTGGATTGCATACTCCATCAACAGTGAGGAGTTCCTGAAGTTCCATGCTGAGCAGGAGTAGTTTGCCGCTCAGCACGTCGAGCTTTATATGTGTTACCCAAATGAGGACTCTTGTGCCAGGAGATCGCATTTGACAAGGAGAAAGCGAACTCTGTTCAATTGCAAGCTCGCCTAGATTCTGTTATGGAGCATGGCGACACATACATTGGCGATATTCAACTTGCTTTTGACCCACTTAAGGCTTCCCCCTTTCCGAACTTCTCACTTATAGGCAGTACATCATCAACCATTGCGGCGCTAGCAAGGGTGATACTTATGTTCTTACCAAGCAATTTGGCCAACATCTCATCAACAATGCAAAGGAAGTGATCGGTCGTCCTCTGGTGTACAATGACCGTGTCATTGCATAAGTGAAGTTTCCAGGATACGTGATCAGCGATCTGATTTCGTCTAGATATGATATCTCCTTCGTCGGCATGATCTTGCCTGGCGATGAGCTGAAGGTCAACATCTGCCACGTCGGCATGCGCGATGGTAACATGGTCGTCAAGGTCGAAATGTTGAACCAGCGTGAAGAGAATATCCTCGAGGGAACTGCAGAGGTTGTGCAGGCTACCACCATCTACGCCTTCACCGGCCAGGGCTCACAGGAGCCTAGCATGGGAATGGATTTGTACAACAGCTCCTCCACTGCTCGCGCAGTCTGGGAAGGAGTTGATGCACACTTGCTTGCCATGTATGGCTTCTCCATCATTGAGATTGTCAAGGACAACCCGAAGGAGAAAACCATCCACTTTGGTGGTATCAAGGGTCAGGTAATCCGCCAGAGGTACATGGACATGACCTACGACACCATGGACATGGCATTGTTAAAACTTATCCCCTCTTTGTCGACATTGACATTTGTACCCCAAAATATACCTTCAGCCACCCCAGTGGTCTCCTTTTTGCTACTCAATTCGCACAGATTGCGCTAGTCGTGACCAAGAAAGCTGCATTCGAAGATATGCACGCTAAGGGCTTCATCCAGAAGAACTGCACGTTTGCTGGACTCCTGTAGAGTCAACACCTGCCCTTGCAGCTCCTGCTGCTGCACCGACGCCTGTCGTAGCTTCACCTTCGGCTGGTCCCGCTGCCTCCATTGAGGATGCCCCCATCAAGGCCAACGATATCCTCATGTTCATCATTGCACAGAAGCTCGAGAAGAAGATTGAGGAGGTTCCTGTGAGCAAGACCATTAAAGATCTCGTTGGCAGCAAGTTGACTCTTCAGAACAAGATTCTCAGCGATTTGCAACTTGAATTCTCATCTGCACCTGAGAAGGGTGATGAGCTGCCTTTGGAAGAGCTCAGTTCTGCTCTCAGCGTCGGCCATTCCGGTGCTCTCGGCAAGTACACTTCGGGCTTGGTGTCCCACTTGATCAGTGGCAAGATGCCTGGTGGCTTCAACTCATCTGCCATCAATGTGCACTTGGCAAAGACTTGGGGACTGGGATCATCACACGCTGACAGCATCCTTCTACTCGGAACCACGATGAAACCTGCCAAACATCTCTCTTCAGAGGCTGAGGGCAAGGTGTGGCTTGATACTGTTGTCACCATCCACGCTCAGCGTTCTGGGATCTCTCTCTCCAGTGGAGGTGCTGGAGGTGCCGGCGGTAGTTCCGGAAGTGGTGCAACCATCAACAGCGAGGGGTTCCTGAAGTTCTGTGCTGAACAGGAGCAGTTTGCCACTCAGCACGTTGAGCTTGCTCAGTTGCAGAGGGAGATGCATGCTCTCGAGGCTGATGGTAGGGATGTACACGAGGAATACATCTCATCCTGTGCTACTGATATTGAAAAAGAAGCTCACAGCAAATCTCATCACCTGTCCAATGGATTGAAACCCAGGACTTGTTTTACACTCAGTATCACTTCGAACGTTTCATCGAGCTTGGTCTTTCACCTACACTTATTCATGTGAACAACAGTTGTCATCTATGTTCGAACGGTCCCTCCTTAGATTCTAACTCGCGATCCCCAACAGCTTTTTGCTTCCCTGAGCTCTCGCCACACATCCTCTAAATACTTCAGTGTCTCTTGCAGTTCTTGCTTCCACAATGTCATCAACGTGAGCCAACATTTATCCTCAATGGTAGTCTTAACAGGGACGGGTGGTACAATGGAGCGATTCTGGATGTGGTTCTGGGCCATCTCCATTGCAGTATTCCACAAACCCTGCATGATTTCATTAATTTAACCTGTATAATACGAGATGATCACTTACTATCGCAGACTTGCTAATGATAAGTGGTCCTGGCACTTGAAATATAGCGGGTAGGACCTAATTTTGATGAGTTCGGTGGCCTCAGGTAAGTGAACATGAAACACTCACGAGATCAGTGTTGTAATTGTTGTCTGCCATGGTGTACTAGGTAGTAATGAAGAGGTTGTGGTTGTGGTATTGATCTGATAGATATGGAAATCTGCGGACGTGTGAGAGCTGTATATTAAGTTCAGTGTTATTTACGTAGGCAAAAAACGCTGCAGCCTGGGATTGAACTTGAGGCTGCTACAAAGACATTCCCCAACTCAAACTTGACAAGGGCCACTGTGACCAATTGAGTTCTATCTCAATTTCTGGAGACTACAAGATGTTTTGGCCGGCAGTAGCAGATGCTGACTGGCTAGCAATAATGTTGACATGCACGGCAGCTTCTTGTCTTCATATGTGCAACCAGGTGAGCGCCCACTCACTTGTCTTTCAACACCACAACCACCGCATGAGCTATCCATAGCAGAATAGCTTGAAACATCCATCTGTCTATCCCATCTTCATCTTGCTTCGCACTCTATCAATTGACAACTTGATCGTTCCGCAACCCAAGTTCACAACTTACACGCTTTGGTTCAAATCGCTGTACGTCGTTCCTCGAGATAGGCATCACCTGGATGGTTTCTAACAGCACCCTTGAACCCAGCTAGTACTTTTAGTTGATTGATTGCATCTCACATGTTGCAACCTTTGTCAACGAGTGATGGTCAATGTTAGTACTTCTGTCTCTTATCTCTCACATGCTCTCTGACCTCTTTGACAGTCCTTCAAGGAACTTGGGCGAAGCTGTTCAAGGTCGCTGTCAAGGGTGCTCAATATAACTCCCCTGAAGAGACAAATGTCAAGCGGCTAGTAGGAACGTTCTTTTTCTCGCGCAAGCATACGAAATGTTGCATGGCTGAATATTTCTTTGCGTCGTTTGTCTACCAGTCTACTAGTTTGCCACCAATTTTCCAAGCATCCGGCAGGATGTGAATAGAGCGATCCGCAACAATCCCACTCTACTAGACTAATACATGCCTCTCTGCGACCAGATGGAGGCTATCTTTCTTAAGCCTCTCCGGTCACTTTGACTTAGATTGCGTGGATGTCCGCCTTTGTCGCCTGCTGTCGATGCCCTTGATGAATGCACATCCGAACCCGAGCTTACCAATCTAATACTTTCCCTTGCGCGGGCTCTCCATGATCCTGATTTTCCCGTAACCCACATTCTGCTCACAACTTGCTTGGAACCGCATATCAGAAAAGTCGTGCAAACCAAAGAGGCACGCAAGATACCTGTGAGAACTTCAGGGGAGGATGGCATCATCTCGTTAGATGGCACAGATGTTGATGATGATACCTGTACTGTCTTGCGGCATTCCTTCAGAGAGCTAGAAAGTCGCCATCCCGATTTCCCTCAGCCATCGATGGATGACCTTACGAAGCTGCCAAGCCGAGCGGGCAGACGTTTCATCGTGGCATCTATGATGAAGTTTTTTTATCAATGATGAAGACAATCATCCCCACAATCGATTGCAGCTGATGCTCGAGCTGATGAGCGAGCTGCTTCCAGGAATGGACGTGTACAAGTTGTACGACCATATGCTCTCCATGTTATACCAATCCCAAGCGGGCATACATGCCCTTGTCCCTCGTTGCTTCCCTCACATGTCCTCTGCCCATCTCGCAAATCTCAACACTCTTGGTCCTGTTTTGGGCAGGGGTGTGAAGACAACGCTGATACAGCTACAGTCTGTCATGGATATTCCTACAGACAGCACTCTCCCTTTGAATATCTATCACTCGTCCATTCGCAACTATGTTTTCATTCAAACTGCGGCCTCCCCCAAGTACGTGATACCATATTATCTCACACCCTACACGCATGTTCCTCTCTCCGCCTGATGAAGGCGATTCCAAAAATGCACTGTTACTGATAACTGTAATATCTCAGTCTTCCAGCTACATACCACTTGTAATCTATTTCTACGTCCTTGATGCAAGCAATGTGCCTGCTAGCCGGCTCGGCCCTAGTAGATAACTACTTTACAAAATACACTATGTTCAGAATCGTATTTGTTTGTCCCGTGCTTGTCCTGTGACATTTTGTCAAACATCATCTATGATTCGGATACCTGCGAGATAATTAAATACTTGTGTCAGAATGATAGCTGTCTTGCATATTCTTATCTCCCACCGCAATTTGGCTCATGCTTGTATATTGCCTTATTGTAGAGTAATCATACTTGCAAGATAATTGAATATTTCTGTCAGAATGGTACTGTAGAGCTACGACACTAGCTTCGTCACGTGCAGCGTGTGATTATGTCACACTCAGTGTCACTGGTTCGAATGACCATGTGACCTGTGACCACACCCAAATAGATTTGCCCGCGGGTGCTTCGCCGCTTGCAACCATCTGACATGCCGCTGCTTCGTGATTGTGTGACGTGCCAATGGATGCACTTCTTGACCATATGGCTTCCGGGGGTGAACAGGTCCATTCTGACTGCCATACCAATGCAGATGGTGGACTTTCGTGTGCAAACCACTCCAAAGTCTATGATGTGGGTGGCATTGCCACTGAAGATGTGGAAGGTGGCTCGAACAGTGTTCCGACGGTTGATTATGGGCGTGGAAAGCGTAGACGCATCACAAATTTGATGTATAATGATTTTTGGTCCCATTAGTGCACAACCTATGTTTTTCCTATGTTTTTTCCGAATGTCACAAATTAGCTTCGTCCCGCCAAAATTCATGTGACGGTCACACCAAATAGATTCGATTCGTCAAGGGCTGTGACCTGTGACAAACCTAGTGTCGTAGCTCTACAGTAGTTGTCTTGCATATTCTTATCTCCCACCGCAATTTGGCTCATGCTTGTATATTACTTTGTCATAGAACAATCATACTTAAAAGACAATGCGCATTTCTCTCAAAATTGTAGAGTTCTTGCCTGATCTTATCCCATCACACCACTTTGCTCGTGCTTGTATATTATCTTATCTTATTATATAATCAGACATAATGTGATAAAATTTTGGTCCGATTTTGCCAACTCCATCTACACAAATAATGTCCTCCCCGATTTCCTGATGGGCGCCACTCTACTTTTGCCCCAATAATCCACTGACCTACTGTATCACCCTCGGCGTATGTGCCAGTACCTCACATTGGGTACACTCCGACATGTAGTGCCGTTCTACTTATGAGGACACAAACTGACGTGCAACATTTTAAACATTGCATCTAACCTCGAAGCCACACACAGGCAATCTCCATCTCATGCGTGTTCCAGTACCACTGATCAAATTATCTCAACCTACCATCCGTCAACGCGTCAGCCTGATCTCCCAAGAAATGATCCGTGATTTTCCCGACCCAGATTGCTCCTTAAGGCCTCATCTCCGGTAACTCGAGGACAGTACTCATCACTCTTCCTCAACTCGCCATTATCTCTATCGGCGTCTATCATTTTTCCATACACTTTCATCCCATGAGTTTAGTCAAGTGTGTCCTTGCCTGTCATGCCTTGACTCGCCTGTGCTTCCTTGCGCGTCGCACGACAATCACCTCGAGGACAATTCATGATCCAGGAGAATAACCATGGGGTATGTGGAGCGCCACATCATCCAGACCATCCGCTAAGTCCCAATCAAATTGAGTTACTCATCTTCTCCTCATCGCGAGCGGTTTGATGATTAACAACATCATAGCAGCTACAAGTGACGTGGTTGCGCTTTGTTGGTGTACAGTCGCCAGCCGAGTCATAACCACATCATCTTCTGGCCCTTCGATGCATCATCCGTGAGCAGAAAACCTATCAAAATCGACCTCGTCGACATGAACCGTCAACTTTGAAGTATCCGATATTCGAGTCGGTATCAGATGAGTTCAGATTGATTTCTCGTGCGTACCCCAGACATTCACTCTGCCAGTTTCCTCCTCCCTTCTACTAGGAGATCCCATGATTATTAAACACGCTGCTGCTCGAGACTCAGGTGTCTGGCCAGGTGTTCTGCACCGCTCAAAGCAATGCAGCGGAGGTATGTACGACCCATTTGTTCCCGCTGTAATGTCAGTATACTTCGGGCATGCCACAGGTATACGTTGTTTCTCGGCTGGGGCTCACGGTTGTAGTTATGCTATGAGTCAAGTACATTTGAAGCACATCAATGGTATTATGGTCATGTCCGACATGGCCGAAGTTCATCACATCAGCTGTGTTAGTGAAGCCCTGAACCCACTAACTTGCTCGCTTCCGCCATCACATTTTGGTACTCTTGTGGACTCGATAGTACATCTTTGTGTGCCGGCGTCCCACCATTCCGCAACGGGATATTGTCAGCGGCTGTGATGATGGAAATGAATGCTAATTCTTGATCGAGGCTATGTTTTCACCCAGTGTGACACACAGGAAAGAGCGTCTTTTTGATGAGCGCAATCTTGGTGCTAACTGAATATGAGAATGCACACCGGGAGTGAGCTGCCGAAACCAGGATGTTTATCTTTTGCACTGCTTCCTTCAGATACTTGGCAGGAACGGATATACTTAATCCCATTGATGATGGTCATCTTGGCCATACAAGTGCTAGATGGTTGTATATCTAGCCCGAACTCCCTCGTCGCACGTCCAACAAGTTCCCCGCTGCCTCACATCCATTCTCTAACAGTACTACTATGACCCTAGTCTCAGACGATCCTAGTTACTGGCCCTCAATCAATTCATATCGTGTTACCAGTTATTTTGTAGGTTCGTGGAGAGCAGTTGGGGATTGTCGCTGCTGCTGACGTCTCGACCCAACCTTGATTGTGGTTTTGCAGTTGCCGCCGCTGTTGTAGTGACGTATGATTGGGGTGAGCATGATAATGTTAAAGAATCGCTAATATCTTACAACTATTTTCAGCACTTACATTCGGACAAGAGGTATTGGTATCATGCTGTAACTGTAGCCATCTCACTAAGAATGATGTTAGGTCGAACTGATCTGGGTGAGCGGAATTCCACAGCAGAGGAACAAAATTGATTTGTGACAGAGGCAACGTTGGTCACTTATGACCGTTCTACATCTAATCGTATGTAGCTTGCATTACAGCTGTGGTTTGCAACTTGTGCTGACACTTGAAAATATCCTAGGTGCGCTATCTTGGAATGTTGTATACTACATATGTTCGCAAGGCTCAGCACTGTTGGTTGTTGTACTGATGAACCATATCTCACAATCAGTTTGCACATACTCAGTATGTCTTCTCCCATTCACGATCTTTGCCTCTTCTGACTGCAGTATACAGGTAGTGTTCCGACAATCTTGTTGACAGACGCAGTGAGCCTTCTGCACTGATGCCTGCTCTTCCCTCTAATGACTGCCACAGATGTGAGTCTGTTTGGAGTGTGCTACCCGAGGCTGATCACTGACTGGATTCCTCAGGTAGGATTGTGTACGTCATATGGGATTGGATGAATGTTATGGTGATTCCAATACTGGGGGGTGAGCTTTGCAGTTGCAAGATCTCAGTGAGATTTGACTTGACTGAAAAATCTTGCAAGTCATCATGATTGCCCGGTTGCATGCCATGTATCAACGATCCAGAAAGATCCTGATATTTCTCGTCGTCACCTTCCTGTCTGCCATCATCTTCAGCGGAGTGGTCTCCGTAATGACAACATTGCATACTTCATGGGGTACGCTTAATTGTGGATGAAAAAAATGTGCATGAAGTTCATTGATGTATACCAGAGGAACTCATCCTCTCTGACACCTATCAATGCACGACTGCCTATGCAGGAGATACCCTGCTTCTGAATTCCGTTACTTGGATACTCGGCACTGTGTGGGAGGTCTTCGTACTGTGTCTAGCAGTCTGGGTTGCTGTATAACACTTCAGCGAACTGCGACAACGTCCAACAGGAGGAGTTATGGGGGACTGTTTCAGGGTGTTGATGAAAACTCACATGTTGTACTTTGCGAGGTGAGCTCCAATTTTGAATATGTTTCTCTTTTTCCGCTGAAGGATCGGACGTGCTAGCTTTCTAGTTGTTTCTTGTTGCCGCCTCATTAGTTTCTTGTCACCAACAAACTTATTTGTATGCCAGTTTTTCACTGACCTTTGTATGCGACCACGGTTCATCATTTTCTATAGAACCAATCATCCCCAGGTACTCAGATGTATGAGGGGTTTCTTCAAATTTTCCCGGTCGTGCAGATGTTTGTGTTGGGACCACGCCTGATCCTTGGCATTCGAGAATATCACGCTAACCTCGTGACCAACTCCGACGCAGCAACCTGCATGACGTCAATCGCTTTCCAGGAGCGCGTGCGTATATCGACTGGTAATGGCGTGTAGCACGGGAGATGCTCGATGAAGTTTTTAGTGCTCTGCAGGGAGTGGTTTTCTAAGTTTGGTGTGTTGTACTTATTTAGTTATCTATATCTGGTGCGTGCGGCGCATGTAGGTACATATAAGCTAGTTTATGTCAAATCGGGAATTGAACGTTCAAATTGATTTCTCCTCTACAACCGGGCCGACAAGCCCCAATACCTGCAGTTCGGCGTGTTCCCGTATATACCAACACCAATGTCATTTACTCCTCTGTCCAAAGTACTCCAATACGTGGGACCTGCTCCACAAGCACAATCGTCTGCACATATATAAGTTCGTTTGAATTGTCTGCACCGCACATTTCTCGCCATTTCCCCTCGTTAACCCAATTTCGAATGTGGTTGATGGCCCCTGCAGTACTGGATCCGCTTGGGAATCAGATCAACGAGCCACGGTCCTGCTATGTAGAGGTACTCTGTGCATAGGAGCAACTAGGATGCACAAGGGTGCTGAAAGGGTCGACAGGCGCCACATCAGTGGTCGGGTACTTCTCTGAGGTTTTGGAAACAGCCATCTTTCAGCGATGGCATCAGGAACGATCAGACTTCCACCAGCCGGGACGATCTTGACAGCACTACTGAGATCGAGTGCGTGAACCTCAGCGTTTTGGAAAGATCTCTACTCATAGTTCGCCAAAAGCTCTTCTATGACCTATATGTACTTCGCAACTTACATAAATATGTACCACGACAAAACCTGGAAAAAATAAAAACAAATTCTCCTGCTGCCTGCACAGTACTACCCGCCCATCGCAAATCAATCATATCGAGCATCTCCTGCACTACACACTACTGCTGGTTGACACATGCACGTGCTCCTGAAAAGCAATTGAAGTCATAACGGATGCTGTATCAGAGTTGGCCACGAGTTCAGCGTGATATTCTCGAACACCGAGGATCAGGCGTGGTCCTAGCACAAACAGCTGCATGACCTGGAATATCTGAAGGAGACCGACATAAATCTGAGTGTCTAGGGAATATGCGTCCTATAGAAATGATGGATCATGGTCGCATGTAGAGGTCTATGACGGATCGACATACCCCTGAGAGCGTTGGAGAGAATAAACCGATCCGGAAACAAGAGATGGCCAAAAAACTAGCACATGCAGAACTTCAGCGGAACAAGATAACCACATTTACATTATGAGCTCACCTCGCAAAGTAACTAACGTGAGTTTGCATCAATACTGTGAAACAATCCCCAATAATGCCTCCTGTTGAGTGTCGTCGCAGTTCACGGAAGTGTTTTACAGCAATCCACACCGCGAGACACAGTGCAACGACCTCCCATACAGTTCCAAGTATCCAAGTTATGGAAGCCAGAAATATGAAATATCCTGCATCGTCAATAATGCACTGATAGGTACCGGAAAGAACGAATTCCTCTGACATCGTCGATGAGACTGATGCACTTAAACATTTCATACATAACTAAGGCTTACCCCCTGAAATATGTATCATCGTTATTACGGTCATCACTGCATTGGCGATTGTGATGGCCAGAAAGATGACAACGAGAAATATCAGCACCATTCTCGATCGCTGATACATGGCATGTAACCGAGAGATTATGATGACTTGCATGATGTTTCAGTCAAGTCAATATCACGGAGACGTATAGCTCACCGCCTAGTATTACTATCCTATTCCAGCATAGCGTACCTAGGATAGTCAGCAAAATTTGGACTTGCTAAGCTTAAATATTGAAAGACAAGGTACATACACCGAGATAGAGAAAGGTCATCAAGGACCAGCGTTGTCTCTGCCGTGAACAAGTTGTATTTTCACGTCGTTCTTTTGATGTGGAAGTCCGCTCACCCAGATCAGTTCAACCCATAACACAATTCTAAGCGAGTTGGCTGCCCCAGTAATGGATCGACGTACTTCTTGTCCAAACGTAAGCACTGAGAATACCATAAGGATATCAGTGGTCATTTCATACTTAGTCTTGCTCACCCCAATCGTACATTACCCCGGCAGAGGCAGCGACTGTAAAACCGCAGTCAAGGTTAATCGAGTTATCAACGTCGTCATGTGGCTGAATCTCCACAAACCTACAAAATAGCTGGCAATAATGCTCGCATTGATGAGTGGCCACCAAATTGGATCATTCGAGACTATAGTCATACTATTAGAGGATGGGAGCGAGCGAGCGGGGGAACTTGGTGGACGTATAACGATCGCATTTGTGCTTGATATACCACAATCTAGCGCTTGCATCGCCGAAGTGGGATTTCAGGGATGATATCTGATTGATCCAAGCAAGTATTTCAGCATAAATTCCAGTTAAAAAAAAGGTGCATCCAGGGATACAGATGGGATCAAGGTAGAAGTTGTTGGTGAGATCGCAAAGCAGCGACTCGCGTGGAATGTTGAGCACTTTTGGTCAGGGATATGACATGTCACTCTAACCAGGGTCTGCCGCATGATGGGTGTCACATTCCTTGACCTATTAATTAGGGTGTAAAAGTGCCGGGAAAGGCAGTGAGGCCGAGTTTTTGAAAAACACGCACTGCAATCTCATATGCAACACACTGTAAGTGTCCTAAGTGTCCTGAGCGAAGCGCTCCTTAGCGAAAGCCACGCGAGCACCCGTGACTCCCCGAAACCTGTTCTCCCTTACTTTATAGATTATAAATTTCGGCAACCTGCCAGTGTGATCTTCGAAGTATTCTTTTGGTAATTCGTATTCTTGGTACAGTCGAGTGAGGGGTTCAACCTTGGCTCATCAATGACACTGAAACGCCGCCCAAGTTGACTGGTAACCTCGTGGCAGACATTGTCAGTTACGACACGAACGGGGTCCACAACCTTTCTTCTAATTCATGTACACGCTGATCAGTACAAATGCGACCAAAGTACATACATGCGTCGTATCCAATTCCCTGTCATAACGATCAAGTGATGTGAACAGGAATGGAGGCAGTGGAGCGAAAGCGATGATAAATGGGCGGTGCCGGTGATGCCGTACACGCTTTGAATGTGAATGACCATTCAACCGCTCGTCTTCGTACATATACAAAGCATCCATCCCCCATGGCATCCACTCACTGCAAAACATCGCCGACTCACTTCCTCACACACAGTTTCTGTATTCTTGGGTTCGCTCCTCCATTATCCAGAATGTGCTGGAGCGTGCCGAACCTGTTTCCAATGGACAAGGCATCCGTCTGCCGATCATTCATGCAAGGAGAAGGGTCGTTAGCCTTTAGGTGCGGTGTAATAGCTAGCTGATGCGAGATATTGACACTGTCGTTAGACTCTTGGTGTCGAAATTTTTGCGGTGTTCGTTGCGTGCGTACGTGACTGCTTTGCAGTCTCATAACCAAAGTCTGTTTCCGCAGTGCTAAAGCACCTTCCAGAGGTACGTTATATCAGTGCATATATGATACCTTGATTCTCCGTTTTTCGCAGTCGCGTGATTCGCAACCTGCGTTCAGGCATTCGCTCCCCTCGTTTCCTCCTGACCTCTAATTTCAATCTCACTTGTCAAGCACGTTGTTCAAGTATCTAACCAGGTATGATGGATTACTCATAGCGATTTACGAGAGGTATGACCTGCTTCCACCTGCACGTGCACGCTGATCTAACATCAGCTTCAGGTTGCTTGATATTTCAGCCTGAATACACTCCAAGCATCTTTATCGATGTTGAGCAACTTGGACTAAAATATAGCCGGTCGGGTGCACCGAGACTGTTGGATGAAGCTGGCTGTTTTTTGTCAGAGTCACTGTACATGTCGCTCCTTATCCTTGTGTTCCGTGCATCCGAGTCAGCGTACTGTCCGTCATTGCCGGTAATCTTATCGCGCGTTCATCGAGCACAAGCTATGAACTCGAGGTATTAATGAGCAGGACGCGTGATGCATTCATTGTGCCAGCTTGTGGCAACTGTGGCCCATAATTGGTTAGTTGTCGCATATTCTACCTTTGTGATGCAAATGGGGCCACATCAATACCATTGATTTGATTCTAGGTGGGTAATCGGAACATTCGCCGGAGCATCCGCACTTGAATGGTTTTCAGATATCGAGCAATTGCTTTGTGGTTGTGGTTGTAGATGCCGTGGTGCGTCCACAGTAGCCCAACCTTTATATACTGAAACGCAGATTCCCTACACCAGCAGACACACTACCGCCTCATTCTTGGCAACTTTACATTCCTTTTTTCCCCATATCAATCATGAATTCGTTCAAGAAAATGTTCCAAAAGTGAGTGGACCGTGTTCGTGTTCTGCTCATTATCATCGTACTAATCAATACACTCAGGTACAACGACGACCAGAAGGTGTCACTTAAGCACTCTAAATCGATGCCATACGGATTCTCTTCAGAAGGGAGGAGGCGCGAGCCTCCTCGTGACGATCCGGTCAAACCCGCATACAGTGGCAAGACTCCCCTTAAAAAGTCCGACATCGTGTACGTCGAGCAAGCTCCAGGGATGCTCGAGATCTACCACGGAAAACTATCACAACACACATATTACCATGGGCCGACTCGCGCAAACGTTAAGACGCGTGCAGACTTGCTGGCCAAGTTTCCCCATTCCCCTCAACCAACTGAGGGCCTCCCTCGCAGCGGTTTCAGAGCACTTTCTTTGAAGGCCACTGTTGATCAAGCTTCGGCGGATGTACTACGCACCCTTAACGACCATACTCACAGTGGCAGACTGGCAGAACGTATTCGCGCCAAGTCGAGTACTCATCGCTCGAACATCCCTCCTCCCACCGCTCCCGCTCCGCCTCTTCCTACCACCCGCGCCCTACATCCAACACTCTCGCGCTCCGCACACAGCTCAAGCGTAAATATTCGGGAAGTTCCATCCCATGTCACCGTCCCGACTCCTGCGCCAGCCTATCCACGGTCATACCGGCCTTACTCCCAATATGATGAGATTTCGCACGAGCAGGATCCGACCGTCCTACGTGGAATGATCAATCGTTATCCCTTGGCGCCTGTTTGCAAGGAACGCTGCCCAGAGCATATGCGCCCTATGTATCTCGACATGGACGAGCCGCGCTCTCCCGAGGAGACACTTCAATGGTACATACATATGTCATTGGCCGAACGTCGTCCCCTCGATGTACGCGCTGGTGGCCGTTACCGCCGCATCGTTGGCGTGAGCAACATGGGCATCATTTGAACTGATTGGTCTCAGGAAGGTCGTCATCAATGATTTTATCGAGACGGAGGTTGGTTTCTGAAGAGAGTTTTGGTGCTGGTTTACCTACTCGTGTATGTCGTATGTTATGTGTATGCATATGGATATGATTTATGAAACGAAAATTGTTTGCTATATGGTCAGCTTGACACATTAGGGTTTTATGAGTCTCATATTAAAGAAATTGATCCGACTCAAGTAGCCCTGAAGCTACGCTGGCAAACTACTACTAATGCCTGTCCAGGTCTCTCCGCGAGATGGGGTGCCAACACTCAACGTTCGACGCCAGACACAACCCAACACATCGTCTATATAAATGCAATCATATACATACAAGCAATAAAAGTAATGGTATACACTCTATTCAGCTCTATGATCTAAACGAATCCGAGAAGATGTCCTAAAGGATAGTCTCTGACTCTTCGGCAAAAGCTACATTATGGGTGATCATGTCATTAAATATTGTACCCGTCAGAGCGCAGAGCTAGTAGGTTGACTCATGAATTCACCGAGGGAGGACATATTGCGAGACTAACTAAACAGTAAGCGGTACTGTCTGCGACAATCTCGATGAGTAAGGATGACACTTCAGACACCGCAGTCAACGAGAACTTCGTTATCGCACAAGCTCATAAACGCATCGAGAATTAGGGTAAGTTCGATTGGGAATGGAGACGAGTGATATAAGACGCGAAGAGTGATGATGATAGAGATAGAGATATGTAGAACTGAAACGTAGTAAGTGAATGACGATGGACTCGGATCAGAATCGGAATCAGATTGAGTGAAGAAATGAGAGTTATATGCGCGTTTATGTATGAGAGGGAGTATCAAGCGCTAGAAACAACCGAAGGTGGCTGAGGCGTTGATCAAAGGGTCGAGTACAAAAAATGAAATAGGACATGTGGTTGGCCCAACGATAAGTATTGCAATGCACCGGCCATGCAGTGTGCTCATTTGGCCAACATAGGGATGGTCTTGCTGGCAAAGTTGTGTGACTATTGTCACCCTCGTTATCAGACCATGCCATAGCGTGGACCTGAAATAGCTCGTTCTTGAGCTACATACATCATGGTTGATTCACGGGCGTTTCTAAGCGAATCGATTCGGTCCCCAACTGCAGGCAATGACGACTCGAGCGAGCTAGACGACGCATTTCGTGAGATTCTCGTGAGATAGAAGCAACTTGACCTGAGAAGACAACAATAAGGGAGGACCGGCAGAGCAGAGGAAAAGATGCAATGAAAGGAGTCGTGTCTGAAAACTCCAAAGGATAACCAGAGTCAGAGGTGGAAGGATCCTGCATGAAGACTCCACTAGCATGATCAAAGAAGCCCATATAGGAAGCAGCGGCAGCAACGTTTGACGGTCCGCACGGGGAGCTGTTCGACGACAGTCTGTTGAACGGCAAAGGAATGATCGTGTTGGTGAGACTAGTGGAGGCTGGAGACGCCGCTAACCTTAACTTGAAAGGCAGACAGTAAGGCAAAAAGGGAAAAGAGCCGCAGAAGATCAACGGTTACCGTAACCGAGTGATAGCATCTTGTTCAGAGCTAATTCCAGCTACTTCTCCATGTGTCGACTCGTTCGGCGAGAGTCGTGTCTGGTTCAGGTGTGATTCCGAATGCGATGACTAGACGATGGGCGTCCTCTGCTTTTGAACTCCGATATGTCGGACTCCTTTAGGTATCTGGAGGTATGGGGGTCACCGTTCTCCGGTGCATATTGTTCTGAAGGCGAGTGGGATTCTAACTTCCTTGCCATTGCACCGTACTTCCTTTGCCCAAGTTCCTTAACGATCGGCGTCCCAGTTGTCTCTTTTGTACTTCAAATCACAATCGGTTCTGACTGTTGAAGTGTTATTACAAACCATGTTCCCCTCATTCAGCTGAGCTATCCCTCGGACGGTCTGGACTTTAACTATTGCTTAGATTATCAGTACATTGAATCTCTGCTCGGACCTTCATAAACCTCTTTGGCTGGCATTCCGAGGACAACTAACAGGCGCCGACGCTGAGGGAAAAAATGCTCAGCACCTGGATCCTGCCAGCGCTCTCCTCTTAAAGTTACTCCACATACATGGTGAGGCTTTCACGATTTGACGTGGATAACCATTGCGTCTATTGTGCTTCGGCTATTCTACAGGGAACACCGTACTGTGAGTACTCTGCATCTTGTGGGAAAATGCCGTTTTAGCGACAGTGGTGGACCATAGCCGCTACAGTCCAAGTGGAACAATGTCTTGTCACGTCTCATACTGTCCACAAGGGAGCAGCGGATGGAGTCCACAGTGTTGTGATCTCCACAAGTGGTCACACCCAAGCGAACAAATCACAAGAAGACCTGTGGGTCTGTGAATCATTGTAAGATTGGTTATATATAAGAATGGGTGTTGTGCAAATGCTTGAACACCACCAACAACTTTTAATCATGCATCGCGCTCTTGAATCTGAAGATATCATCTATGCGGTGTTAGAACACGTCAAGTCCTCTGCGAAGGACTTGGTGAACGTGGCGATGACCTGCTCCACACTGGCAGGTCCCGCCCTCGATATCCTCTGGTCCGAACAGTCAAGTTTGGCACCACTCATTATGTGTCTACCGCAAGACACCTGGGAGGTCGCAGAGGATCAAACCATCGTGAGTGAAGTATACTATTTGAATCTTGACAGGACAATACTCACCGTACTCCGATCTGCAGGATCTTTCCAGAGAGCCAACTCCCACTGAGTGGGAGCGTCTCAGAATGAACGCATCAAGAGTGCGGCGGCTTCTTATTAATAAATTCAGTAGCGTGCTTCCCCCGAAGCCACCTCTCATCCCGAGTGGTCGTACCCTACAGAGGATTTTCGAGCAGTTCCCTCCCGCCACACTCTTCCCAAACCTTTGCGCATTGGATTTCGAGGCCATATTTGGTCGGTCGGAGTATAGTTCGAAATTCTTGCTACTTCGGCAGTTCATGTCGCCTGGATTGGAAGCGCTAAGGTTTGATGTACCTGGAGGCGTCCCGACGTATGAAGTAGAGCAATTGCTTGATGCTCTTCCCGTAGAAGCGTACGGCCTGCGTCAACTGTTGATCTCAGCGGGCCATGATACCACGACTTTTACAGTTCCTCCGAGTTTCGAAAAGCTGTCCAAGTTAATTATACTGAGCATTCACGGAATAGATGCGTGCCTGACGAGGCAGACGATCACTAATATCCAGCACGCTCGGTGTCTTCAAACCCTCATGCTTACTCTGCGCGGGACCTCCAACGATGCGGGTGGTATTCCCCTTGAATTGCATAGTCTCGAACAGCTCTGTCTCTTTGGCGGTTCCTTGCCACAGTGCACACACTTCATTCGTCAAGTCACCACCCGGCAACTAGCATATATCAGTATCGGATACTCCAAACCTGCTTCCCCGACCGAAATCACCGCATTCGTGGAATCATTGTCCACCTCGTGCCAAACCAGGTCCTTGGAACAGATCTATGTGATGGACGCATCACATGTGGATGATCATGAGCTTGCCATCCCACTCCCCTCCGAAATCTTCCGGCCCTTGCTCAAGTTCAGCAGGCTATCGTCTGTTAGATTCATCGGCATTGGAAACTACCACCTTGACGATAGGTTCATCAATGATGTCGCAGTTGCCTGGCCGGATATTCGGGAATTGAAGTTCGCTTCAAGGAGACGTGGCACTTGTAACGTCACCTTCACCGCCATGATGTCACTGGCTTCAAGGTGCAGATCGCTGCACACCTTACATCTGACGTTCGATGCTACACAGTCAACGACAATTCCTCGAGCACCGGACGGGACGGAAGAGCTTTGGCCCACGCAAACAGCCCTTCAAAAGCTGCATCTTGGACACTCTGAGGTGTCGAAAGTTGCGCGCGTTCCATATTTCCTGGCTGAGGTGTTTCCAACTCTATCGGATTTCATCTGGTATGACTACTTTGGGGATTCCGATATCGATATCGTTATGGAATCAGAACTGGTGGAAGCATGGCAACAACTAAGGTTACTTCGGAACTTAGACGACGACGACGACGACGACGAGGAGGAGGAGGAGGAGGAGGAGGAGGAGGAGGAGGAGGAGGAGGAGGAGGAGGAGGAGGAGGAGGAGGAGGAGGATTCAGACGACGATGACTGGATGTGAAGAGCATAGGAGGTTCCGTTGTAACGCAATCGAGGATGTATTTATATTATGTTGGTATAGCTGTATATCTACTCTGTAATGCTTATGTTCCTGGTGTTGATATATGCCTGAAAGCAGCAACACGTGAAAAAAAAAGGAAATTGCGCTGTGGTTCGCGGTTTATTACATCCCATGACCACCCTTAATTAAGTCATATCGTTTCACTGGGCTTACGCTGTGGGTTATGGATGCGATATACTGTGTGCTCGTGATCTTTCGTTCCCAACACTGTCGTCGAGAGGGTGATGCGGACTTGATGCACAATGCAAAATACTAACGCTTTCAGGCGAGACAGCAGGATCAAGCAGAAGCGCAGCTCCCTGATTCTGAATTAAAAGGTTAGGAAAATCGCTTAGGTATGAATTTGTTTTGCTCATCACGACCAAACTACGCCTGTGAACGTCCCACCGGCGAGAGTGAGAACCAGTATCTGATAGGGTTATATCCACCACGACGATCTGCAGATTCAGAGATTCAGAAATTAAAAAGTGGAGCGTATGAGATGACACATATTGTTGCAGGTAGGAGTAAAAAAGTAAATGATGTTCACGAAGGACGTGTGGGTGAGAGAGGTTGAATCTGCTGAGCTCCGACCAGTGACTCGGACATGTGACACTCCAGAGGTTATTAACTGAAGGGGTGATGAAACTAATGGAAGGTGTCTCCCAGCGCACACTCTCCAAACGGAATCTTTGTCTTTGCCGCTGAGCCTGGAAAAGCGCAGTAGTGCATGATGAGGGGAGGCCAGGTACTATGTCAAGGGCGAGTGGCCGAATGCCAGAGCGAGTTGTGAACGGATCATACATGGAAGAAACGACTTCAATATTTGGTGCCCTAGTCGTTGGGAAAAACTTGAAGAACTTGGATACGCAAACAGTGCCTGCATTAAATTTGCAGCAAATCGATGGTGAGGACCACGGGCGAGCTGACAAAATCGGTCGAGATGGCAGTGTCTCCAGATGAGAAAATGCTAGGACAATCTGGTCTGTCGTTCACAGACCAAGATCCGGGGCAGCTTCCGGAATCCGGATGAGTATGTTACGTTGACGAGAGACGTGTAGACCAGAATCAAATATTAGTTATTCAGGTGAAGACAGACTCGGAGTAGCAATATTGATGGTCGGTCGTAAGTCCAATCCGGGAACACCCGAGTTACCCAATAATCAACTGACCTACTGTATCACCCTCGGCGTACGTGCCAGTACCTCACATTGGGTACACTCCAACATGTAGTGCCGCTCTCAGACTATGTACCCCTTGGTGGAGAGAAGGACTCTGTGTGAAGGAGGCTACACCTATCAATGCTGGATAATAGTGCGTTTGTAGTCCCTCTACTTATGAGGACGCAAACTGATACGCAACGTTTTAACCATTGCATCTAACCTCGAAGCCACACGTAGGCAATCCTCCATCTCATGCGTCTTCCAGTACAACTGATCAAATTGCCTCCACCTACCATCCGTCAACGCGTCACCCTGATCTCCCGAGAAATAATCTGTGATTTTCCCGACCCCAATTGCTCCTCAAGGCCTCACCTCCGGTGGAACGGGCACGGACTGCAAGGGAAACCCAAGGCCAAACCTCTATAACGGGAGGCTGCGGCTCTATCTATCGAGGACCGACTACGACAAGCCAGGACTTTACCGACTACGAGCCAGGACTCCTGCTACTGCGCCAGAACCCCTGGCACTCCCTATGACCTGCGCCAGACCATCCTGCCAGATCTCCCCATTACACCGGTAACTCGAGGACAGTACTTATCACTCTTCCTCAACTCGCCATTATCTCTATCGGCGTCTATCATTTTTCCATACACTTTCATCCCATGAACTGTGTCCTCGCTTGCCACGCCTTGACCCGTATGCCTTGACTCGCTTATATTTCTTTGTCAGGCTTCTCTATTAGCCTCCGTGTTCCCTCTCATGTTCCATCATATCACATCTCATTGCCCTGTCTGGGCCGTCTCCATTTACATATCCCCATATCCTCATTTCTCAACCGCCACTCTCGCTCTCGAAGCTTCAAGTCAGTCACTTGCGGGGGTACTCTCAACCTGCAGCACATGTCAATCACCTTGAGGTCAATTCATGATCCAGGAGAATAACCACGGGGTATGTGGAGTCCAACATCATCCAGACCATCCGCTAAGTCCTAATCAAACTGAGTTACTCATCTTCTCCTTATTGCGAGCGGTTTGATTATTAACAGCATCACAGCTACAAATGACGTGGTTGCGCTTTGTTGGTGTACAGTCGCCAATTGAGTCACAACCACGTCATCTTCTGGCCCTTCGATACATCACCCGAGCAGAAAACCCATCAAGATCGACCTCGTCGACATGAGCCACAGGTACATGAACTTTGAAGTATCTGATGTTCGAGTCAGTATCGGATGAGTTCAAGTTAATTTCTCGTGCATGCCTCAGATATTCACTCTGCCAGTTTCCTCCTCCCTTCTACTAGGAGATTTCACAATTATTAAACACGCTGCTGCTCGAGACTCAAGTGTCTGGCCAGGTGTTCTGCACCGCTCATAGCAATGCAGGGGAGGCATGAACGACTCATTTTTTCCCTCGCACAGATACAACTCATTTAACTGTAATATCAGTATGCTTCGAGCATGCCACGGGTATACGTTGTTTCTCGGCTGTGGGGCTCACGGGTACATTTGAATTACATCAAGGATATCATGGTCATGTCCGACATGTCCGCAGTCCATCACATTGGCTGTACATGTGATCAAAGTCCCGAACCCACCGACTTGCTGCATTCCTTCCCGATTCCGCCATCATATTTCGGTTCTCTTGTGGACTCGGTAGTACGTCTTTGTGTGCCGTCATCCCACCATTCCGCAGCGGGATATTGTTAGCAGCTGTGGTGATGGAAATGAATGTTCATTCTTTATCGAGGCTAGTGGGAGACACAGGAAAGAGTGGCTTTTGTGATGACCGAAGTTTTGGTGCTAACTAAATATGAGAATGCACACCGGGAGTGAGCAGGATGTACATCTTTTGCACTGTTTCCATCAGATCCTTAGGAACAGATATAATCCCTTTGATGATGGTCATCTCGGCCATACAACCGCTAGATGGTTGTATATCTAGCCCGAACTCCCTCGTCGTACGATTCGCAGCTCACTCGCATCCATCCTCTAACAGTACTACTATGACCTTAGTCTCAGATGACCCTAGTTTGTGGCCGTCAATTAGTTTCATATCGTGTTGCCGAGTTATTCTGTAGGTTCATGGAGAGCAGTCGGAGATTATCGCTTCCGCTGACGTCTCGATCCTAACCTTGACCGTGGTTTCGCAGCTGCCGCCGTCCGTTGTAGTGACGTATGATTGGGGTGAGCATGCTTAATATTAAAGAACTGCTGATATCCTACAACTATTTTCAGCACTTGCATTCAGGACAAGAGGTATTGGTAATGCTAGTGACCAGAGCAGCCATCTCGCTAAGAATGATTTTAGTTCGAACTGATCTGGATGAGCGGAATTCCGCACCAGAGGAACAAAATTGATTTGTGACAGAGGCAACGTTGGTCACTTATGACCGTTCTGTATCTAAGCGTATGTAGCTTGCATTGCAGCTGTGGTTTACAACTTGTGCTGACTCTTGAAAATATCTTAGGTACGCTATCTTGGAATGTTGTATGTTATGTATGTTCGGAAAGCTCAGCAATGTTGCTGTACTGATGAACCATATCTCACAATCAGTTTGTAGTGTGCACATACTGAGTATGTCTTCTCACGTTCACGATCTTTGCCTCTTCTGACCTGCAACATACAGACAGTCTTCCGACAATCTTGTTGACAGACACAGTGAGTCTTTTGCACTGATACATGCTCTTCCCCTCCAATTAACCTTCGCGCCCTACAGAGGTGAGTGTGGTTCTTGACCAGCTTCTTCGTTCACTATAACGAATGCTACAGATGTGAGTCTGTTTGTAGTGTGTGATCCACCTGAGGCTGATCACTGACTAGGTTCCTCGGGCTGGATTGTGTACGTCATATGGAATTGGACAAGTGTTGTGGTCTTTCCAATGCTGGGGGGCGAGCTTTGCGGTTGTAAAACCTCAGTGATATTGAGTTGACTGAAACATCTCGCAAGTCATCATGATCGCTCGGTTACATGTCATGTATCAACGATCCAGAAAGATCCAGATACTTCTCGCCATAACATTCCTGGCTGCTGTCATTTTCAGCGCAGTGGTCACCGTAATGACAACGATACATATTTCAGGGGGTACGCTTAATTGCGGACGAAGAAAAAAATATGCCTGAAGCTCATTGATATATACCAGAGGAACTGATCATCTCCGGCACCTACCAGTGCACGATTGCCTATGCAGGAGATGCCCTGCTTCTGGGTGCCATTTCTTGGATACTTGGCACTGTGTGGGAGGTCTTCGCACTGTGTCTCGCAGTCTGGGTTGCTGTAAAACACTTCAGCGAGCTGCCACAACATTCGGCAGGAGGGATCACCGGATATTTGTTTATGGTGTTGATGAAAACTCACGTGTTTTACTTTGCGAGGTGAGCTCAAATTGTGAATATATTTCTCTTTTTCCGCTGAAGGATCGGACACGCTAGCTTTATTGTTGTTTCTTGTTGCCGCCTCATTAGTTTCCTGTTACCAACAAACTTATTAGTATGCCAGTTTTTCACTGACCTCTGTGTGCGACCACGGTTCATCATTTTCTATAGGACCAATCTTCCCGGGGTACTCAGATGTATGCGGTGTTTAATCAAATTTTCCCGGTCGTGCAGATGTTTGTGTTGGGACCACGCCTGATCCTTGGCATTCGAGAATATCACGCTAACCTTGTGACTGACTCCGACGCAGCAACTGGCATGACCTCAATCGCTTTCCAGGAGCGCGTGCATATATCGACCGGCAATGGTGTGTAGCACGGAGATGGTCGATGAAGTTAACCATTGTTTGGTGCTCTGCAGGGAGCTG